CCCCAAAACCCCAAAACCCCAAAACCCCAAAACCCCAAAACCCCTTTGAACGAATAGCTAATTGAAACAGACCACCAAAGTTAGAAATATGAGAAATAATCTTGCTGAGTCTTGGTTGGAACTGAAGGAGTCTCGACTGAGTCAGGATACTTCTCGAAATACTGTGTGTCTGTGTTGTTTCTAATCTTTGGAACCCATGGAGGAGGGATTTCTCTTGAATTAACTACATCCCAGTCAACACCTTTGAACCACTTATGCTCTTTCACTTCTTCAGAACCTCTGTTGCATCCTAGTCTGATGGATTTATCTGCAGTGAGAAAAGCTTTGATGAGATCTCTCGCTTTAGACTCAACGTAAGGAGGGAATTCATAATACCCATCTAGGATTTTCTGGTAGATGCCTAGGGGGTTATCGTCGTAGAATGGAGGATACCCTGCAAGCATTTCAAAGATCAGGACACCCAAGGCCCACCAATCAACATAGATGGTGTGTCCTTTACTTTGGATAATCTCTGGAGCAAGATACTCAGGAGTTCCTCATAATGTAAATGTTTTGTCCTTGACAACCTTAGCAAATCCAAAGTCAGTAATTCTTACATGACCGTCTTTGTCAACAAGTAGATTTTCAGGCTTCAGATCTCTATAAGCAATGTCTTTGGAATGGAGATATTCAAAAGCAAGCACAATTTCTGTTGCAAAGAACAGAGCAACATCATTAGCAAACCTTCCTTCTCTTCTTAAGAGTGAGAAGAGTTCTCCTCCACATGCATAATCAAGGAGCATAAACACGTGGCTTTCTGTCTGGAAAGTGCCCTGGAGCTGGACAATAAAAGGATGACGAATTGTTTCCAAAATCTTCTTTTCGCTCCTGACATGGTCTACTTGTTTAAGACGAATAATTTCAGTCTTATTTAAGCATCTTTAAAGCCATTGGGTCGCATTTAGGATCATGTTTGAATTTTACCAGTCTAACTCTTCCAAAAGTACCAGTTCCAAGGGTGGATAAGAAGTCGAAGTCATGGATGGTCAGGCTTCTTCTATCAGATTGTTTAGATTCCTCCCCTCTTTCTTGAACTATAATTGTTAGCTTCTAAGTTTCGGATTGTTTACCTAAATATCCTCCTTCTTCCTTATTATTTGCTCTATAGTTAGTTATAATAACTTTTTGAGGGTAGGAAATGTAGTCAGGATTTCAATTTAAACCTGGAAAAGGCGCATTTCATGAATCAAAGGAAATTTCATGAGATGTCCAGAATAACTAAAGATCTTAAAGTAAGTCTCAGTTTTTATGAATTTTGGGTAGTTGAATTATTTAACAGTAATCATGAAATTAAGTGGGGATAACTTACCTTGATTTTTCTTTATTAATTTTTCTGTTTTCATCATCTGAATCATCATATTCATTTCTAAGGTAGTTTTAAATAGATTTCTTACCTATCAGTTCCTATATAAAAGTTAACTTCCATCCATATAAAAGCAACCCAACTATTAACCCCATAAATCTACTCAACCATCTTCAAATCCACCTCTACAAAACCCCATATAGCTCTAAATCTAATTTTAAACCCTCTCCAGCCCTTAAACCAACCCTATCTATTCTCTTTCCTCCAAAATCCCACTTACCATGAAACTGCATCTCTTCATCATCCTCTCCAGAATATCTCCTCTGCTTAATATTTTTTAATTTTTCCAAAGCTTCTTCCATTAGGAAATAGTAAATTCAAAAATTATTAATTTTTACGGGGTTTTGGGGTTTTGGGGTTTTGGGGTTTTGGGGTTTTGGGGTTTTGGGGTTTTGGGG